AAAAAAAAAGACTAAATCTTGTTTTTTTTTTTTGTTTTTTCTAGTCTTCTTTATGGTTTTTCCCAACCGTCCAGTATTTATTATTATTATCGTCATTATAGTTTTTATTATCGAGCTGATGAAAATGGTGTTAAATTACCTAAAATACATTTAATTTTATGTAAAGTAGCATCATCTAATAAAGAATCAAAAATAGGTATTGGTGGTAATGTACCAACAGCTGAAGAAATTGATAAATGTTGGCGTTTTGTTTATGATACATATACAAAACATCGTGATGCATTTGAAATACGTACATCATCAATGTCAACAGTATCACCATCAAGTGAAAGAGGTGCATCGATTGCACCACGTTTTTCATCAATCTCATTAACACCATCATTAATACATGAACAACGTCATTCATTATCAACACCTGCAACACCATCATCAATAAGTCATTGTCATAATCATATAAATAATTTAAGTAATTTAACACAACAACAATATCAAATACAAACATTTGAAGAATTCATGCGACAATATGTAATGCATCTTGGAAATGAAACAAATGTTGTATCACGTATAGCTGTCAAATCTCATTCACCAATACTTGCTGTTAAACATCCACATCATTCACATGAATATCAAATATGTGCACAAACTTTTGACAAAACATTAAATGATATTGTTGAACGTATTTGAATTTTAGAAAAATTTTTATTATCAAAGCAAAACAAAAAAACAAAAAAAAACAACCATGTGATCCGATTATTATTAAAGTCTTCCTTGAGATAAAACATCTGTTCTTTCTTTCTTCTTCTTTCCTATGTGTACAATAATGCTTATTCTTTTTTTTTTGTCTTTGTCTATCTATCTATCTTGTCTTGTTTTCTTTTTCTCTGGTAATCGCGACATACAAATGCAACAAAAAAAGAAAAGGATAACGATTCAGGATCACATAGGTTTATCTACATATGTGTATATTTGATGAGTAAAACAAAAACAGATTTGTATAGAAATAATGTTTGCTCATCAACAATATCACTAGTTTCAATTTTTGTTTTTTGTTTATTATATTTTATTTTATTTTTTGTTTTCTTAATTTTCCCTTTAAACAACAACATGCAGTTAATTTATTGCCGAGTGAAAGAATATCCTATATTTGGTAATAAAAAATGATCTATCTGAATAAGAAAATTTTTTCTTGTTGGTTTTTTCTCTCTCTCTTTCTCTCTCTCTCTCTTTCTTTGTAATATTAATTTGATTTATGTAATAACAAGCAACAAAAAAAATCAAGACTTCTAAATAATAGACCTCATCATATTTACATATAACAAGGAAGAAGATAATTATATTAACAGTTCTCATCAAAAAAACATTTGTATGAAAAGTTTATCGAATGGATTATTGGAAGAACTATCGTTGTTAAATAATACATAGGCATTTTTTTTCTTTTTTGCTGAAGTGATTTTTCATTATAAAGATTAATGAAATAATTTTCGAAATTTGGTCTTTATTCGTACATATGTAATTATATTGATAATAATGAAATCGATACTATACTTGACATATCTGTAAAGTGAAATAATTCAATTTACATATTCTTGAAAAGAACCCTTTTAAAACAAAAACTATGATATTCTTTTGGTTTTTTTTAAACATTGAAATAAATATAATTTAAATAAAAATTCAAGAAGAACTAAAAAAAAATTATTCTATTGATAGAACACTCAGAACAATGTTAATTGAAGAATATTACACATTAGTATCTCTGTTCAATGTTTACAAATTTATTATTAAATCTTTACAGAGATCAATTTGAAAATACATATGAAGAAAATGTCAACAACGAATTTTCTTTTGTTTTGTAAGAATTTTATCAGATAGAGTTCTCGATTCGGTCCTATTCAATGATCTCTCATTTAAATCTCTTCTCAAAATCGGTCGTAATTCATCAATTTAAAAGAAAATGATAAGCCAACACTTATCTTTATGATTATTCATGTAAAGAATTCATTCTCAAATAGTCATTGTGGCTTAAAATAAATGACATGTCAATAATCCTTGTTAAAACATACATATTAAATACAATAAACAAACAATAAGTAACATGCACAATTCAAAATTACACATTTTAACTCACTTGTACTTAATTACCAAGGTCTACATTTAATAATTCAATGTGACAAACTCTAAAAACCAAGTTTGTGAAGAAGTAAAAAAAACAAAAACCAACAACTTTATGTTTTTCATCATATATATATATATATAACGTGTCTGCGCATTATCAATGTTGATAACTAATGTATTTTTCCTGTTATTTTTAATTATGCAAGTTATCTCTTCTATATTAAATATAATTATGAATGATTGTAACTGATAATATTAGACGCAAACTGAGAAATCATCGAATAAAACCGCAATGGGACTGGACTGGAATTAAGAGTAAACCATTCTATTGAGCGATAAAATATTATCCTGGAACCGATTATATATAACAATATTAGATAAAATTTTCTTTAATGATCCGTTGAAAAAATTTATACATAATAATCTCTTTTATCATTTTAGACAAGCTAAATACTATCTTCAGTAAAGAAAATAATCTTTCGAAAAAAAAAAAAAAAAACTAATATCGTAAATATTATTGTGTTTATTGATATCCAAAAATATCTCTTTATTTTTCTCCTCCTCCTCGTCCGCCTCCTCTTATTCTATCTAACGATCGTTAATTGACAGGTTCTTCAACCTAAAAACAGACTTATCTAAACGATATTGTTGACAGAATCGTTTCCAGTTTTGAATCATTCGGTCTATACCCAAAGAAATATATAAGCATAAATATACTTTATTCATAGAAGACAAACGAAGACCTTGTTCCAATATTCTACATATCAAGATGATGAATGTAAGTCTTTGAAAGTAAACTGAGTCACATATATATATATATATATATGCATATCCTGATATTCTATTGTGTTATACGTTACATAATGTTGAATGATGAACATTTACTAGAGAGCTATATTCGAAATTTGAGTTGATTTCAAATGATTGAAGGAAAGAATTTACGTGAGAACATGATTTCATTTTTTTTTTAATTTTTATTTAATACCTCTTATAATCCTTCTTTCATCAACACTTAATAATTCCTCTTCGTTGAATAATCTGATCATATTCATTATGTATACCTATATCTATCTATAACAGTCGTCATTGATTGCCGTTGATCATGACTGTTGTAAGATAGTAGCGTATCATCATACACTCACTAATTCCTTTCTTACAAGGCAATACAACAAGGAAAAATGAGATGATGATGGTGATCATGCAGATGTGCTAGTCCTTCTTCTCTTTTAAGCTTTTGTTCATTACTCAACTCTCGACAAACGGCACGACGTGAAACGAAAAAAAAAAGAAAAAAACTAAAATAAATAGTCTTGGTCGCTTTTATATGCGTTATATACATATATATATATATATATGTATATACACATAATCGATCATATCACTTTCGAAATATAAGGTATTTAACCATCAAGATTACTGGTCGTAAGAATGGTAAGTTTTATTATACGAATATATAATTAAAAACGAAAATAGAAAAGTCATTTAATAATTTTTTTTAAATAAATGATCTAAAAATAGAAGAGTGTATATAGTAACTGATGAATGTTGAATACATTCGAGTCAAATTAAAGATCTCATCAGCAAATCAAATATTAGCTGATTATACTATGTATGAGCTAAAATATTTTTCTATTTGTTTTGTCATGGCTGGATAGAGCTTGTTGAGAGTTACATCTATGACATCATTATGTTTAAATATAGAGAAAAATAAACCCGAAAATTCTGATTTTTGTAAAATTTCTTTTTTCTATATATGTGAAATATACTTTTTTTTGTTAAATGTAAATCGAGAAGTTCTATTCAACCGTGACTAAAAAAGAAAAATAAACTCTGTTGAAATTTTGAATTATTGACATATGACATAGATTATATATAACTCTCTATAGTGGACATCATTACATAGTTCTATGGTAACTACTTTTGAAAAGTTTGAAAACTGTTCACTATAGAGAGGTTATTTTGTATCTCAGTCCGTACATGTTATAAGCAGCTCATATTTTGTTTACCGGTGAAACCTTTAATTTGATCCGAATATGTTCAATATTCTTCAATTACAATGTATACTCTTTCCCTAATAAGATAAAATGAACATGTTTGATTTACAATAAAGAATTCTTTGTCCTTAAGAGTTATTCTTTATTGTCTTTAATAATATAAAATCATGTAAAATAATTATATTTTAATAATTTCTATGACTCTTATTCTTGTTTTTTTTATTAATTAATATAATATTCATCGATTACAAATTGTTAATTGAATTTATAAACGTTAATAGTAGTTAAATAAAGTTAACATATGACGTCGAAAGATTTTGAAGTTGAAGGCTATTTAAATAAAACTTTATGTGTAGATCTTTCTTTTTTTTTTTGTCATTATTGGTTTCACTTTCAATTGATTGTTTTAATCTAATCTCAAATAGAGTTTCGATATATCTTTCTTTTTTTTTTATCATCATCATTAACCTGGAGTAAAATAGCTATACTCTTTCTTTAATCCAACGTCCCTCAAATTGTCCTTTATAAAATTGAAATTACAGTAAAAAGAAAGAGGAAGAAGACGAACAGATGTCATGATAATGCTTCTTCTTTTTTATTTTCACTTGGGCTAGTGCGTATTGTTCAAGGATTGTATTATCATCATCATATGTATATTCATGCGTACACACGAAAGAAAGAAAAGAAGAGCAAGAAAGAGAGAATACGGAAGGAGATGTACCTTCAACTTTGTAGCAAACAGAAAAAAGTAAAAGATAAACGAGTAAATAGCAATCTGTAGCAAAGACATAAAGCTACATAAAAGAGGATATAAAATAAAGAGAATAAACGTCAATTTGTCAAATATTCCCTTTTCGAGGATATATAATATTTTTTTTTAAAATTATTAGTACAATGGTAAGTTAAAAATTTATATCTATCGAATATATTATTTATTTAAATCTTTATATAGATTATTGGGTGGTTATTATTATTAATAATAATAATTAATATTATTTCGTTTACTATTGCTAATCCAACAAATTTTAATATTGATTCACGTCATATGCCAGGTCTGTCAATCGATATTTATTTTAGGCAAAAATACTTTATTTTCTAGCTAGAAAAATTAATGAGAGTATTTACATAAATTATTCTTGTAGTACGTTTTTTTAAACCTGTTATTGCACCAAGTTTAGCAAGTCGGTGCTATGGATGTCTTGTACCGTCATCTGACTGTACAGTACCTTGTTCGAGTCCTCAGCGTTGTTTTATACGTGGACCAACACCATTCAATCAAGGTTGGAATAATTAGATATAGATTAATGCTTTTTTCTAGACGCTTCATCATCGCTACCGGGTCGATCGGCTATTGCCATTGTAGAAGAGGACAAACGGTGTCTTGCATGTACAACTTTTCCACCGACGGGCATTGCCAGTCAATGCATCGTATCTTGTCACTATAATCAGCGATGTTATTTAAAGGCTGCTCATGCCAATGCAACGCGTAAGCTTATAATAATGATTGGCTTTCTGCTTTTTTTCTTTTTTCTCTTTAAAGAACTTGAATGAAAGCGAGAAAGAAAAATAACTAAATTAAAAAAAAAAATCTGAATATTCGTTATCTTTTTAAAGTTACCGATCGTCGTTGTACTGACGAACGATGGGTACGTGATTTACTCGTCGATGGTTGTCTAACATATAATGATCTTTATTGGTGTATGTGTTCAACTGATTTATGCAATTCCGGTGATTTCAATTCTATTCGTGGTATGTAAAATAATTTGATTAGAATATTAATCAGTTATGAAATAGATTATTGATGAAAAAAAGAAAACAAATATATATATGAAATTTGATCAACGTTTATAATTTAGGTTTTGATGATTGTTCAAATAATCCTTGTCCATCGGGTACTATATGTCTTGATACAAAAGATGGATTTAGTTGTATTTGTCCACCATGGCAAACTGATTGTACTTATGGTAAGATAGATTGTTGTTTTTTCTTTTTTGAATCTATGATAATTTACTTGAAAATATGAATTGTTTTCTTTTATTTTTTTTTTGGTTTTTGTAGCTTTTACTGTGGGCTGTACTTGTAAGAATGGCGGCCGATGTATTATGGGTCTTGGAACATACATTTGTGAATGTCCATATGGTTATACTGGAGTCAATTGTGAGACAAGTAAGTTTATTATTATTATTATTATTATTATTATTATTATTGAAAGTAGTAAATTCTAACACTAATCAGATGTTTAAAAGATTTGATTTATTTCATAAACAAAAAATATAGAGAAAAGTTAAATTTATCAATAATAAATTTATATTTTTTCTATCCATAGGAACGAATACTTCAGCATTAGTTGAACGTAAGCTGCATGAAAATAAACATTCATTTTCCTTGAAGATTTCCAATTGAATCTTTATCTTAAAATATTTTGTCTAAGGATTTCGTCGACAGAGTTCACCATCATCACCATCACCATGTCCTAATCAATGTGTACAACGAACATGTGTGTATCGTCAGTCAGGTTACGGTTTAGCACCCACGAGTTGTACATGTCTACCACCTAGTCGCTATCCTAGCAGTCAAAGTAACTGTAATACATGTATGATAAATTAAAAATATTAATTTGATATGAGTGAATATTAAAAAAAAACAAAAATAAAAACATAATTTAGATCGAGCTCCACAACCATATATTGCTTGTAGTCCAAATCCTTGTCAACATGGACAATCATGTCATTCATTAACACCATACAGTTTCTTTTGTATGTGTCAAAAAGCTTATATTGGTCCTCTATGTGAACGATGTTAGTAAAAAAAATTCATTTTTTTTTGTTTTTGTTTTTGTATTATATTAATTAAATCAAAAATCATTTTCTTCAATCTCAGCAAATCCTTGTGCTCAATATTCATGTCCTAGTAATCAACGATGTGTTGTTAGTAGTCAAAGACAGGCTATTTGTGTGTGTAGTACACCATATTGCCAACGTCGTAAGAAGACATATGTGTGATTTATGCATTTGTAAAACACGCATCTTTTATGTATTATTTATTTGCATGTGTTTTTATAAAATTCTTTTGTTTTTTTTCATCAATCCTATGCTTGTTTATACAGGAGATATTTGCATCCCAAATCCTTGCATGAATGGCGGCACATGTCAATTGCAAGGCATGCTCAGTTTTATTTGTCAATGTCGTCCTGGATTTCAAGGATTTACCTGTCAGATATGTAAGTGTTTTATCAAATCCAAAAAAAAGAAAAATTTCATACATCATATCTGCTTATGAATTCACTATTTGACATATATTTTTCGTTGTCTTATATCATCGTTCGTTTTCTCTTAGGCGATGCTTGCGTACCAAATCCATGTCAAAACGGTGGTTCATGTGTTTTTGATGAACCAACAGGATCTTTTCGTTGTTATTGTCCACCTGGATATACAGGTCGTACATGTGATATCAGTAAGTAACTAAATATTCTAGTAGTTAAGAATATAGAGCGTATATGACTGTGTGAATGTGCATGTATATATACCTATATATGTCTAGGCAGTGCAATTATTACTGTTTCTCCTGATCCATGTTTACCGAATCCCTGTCGCAATGATGCTACTTGTCAAGCTAGTAATGCAGGAAGTTTTACATGCATGTGTCCTGTTGATTTTCAAGGCATTTCTTGTGAAATTCGTGAGTTACATATCAGAAATCTTCTCCCTTTTTGTTTACTAAAATCTATAACAATATTTATTTAAAATATTCAAAGGATCCGATCCTTGTGCACCAAATCCATGCCAAAACAATGCTGGGTGTGTACCAAGTGGAGTTTCCTTTGTTTGTTCATGTCCAAGTGGATTTTCTGGACAACGTTGTGAAATACGTAAGTATTCGAGTAGAATAATGAAGTTAATGATTCTTTTTTCTGTTTTCATACATATTGATGACATATTGTATTGTTCGTATTAGGTAATCCTTGTGTACCAAATCCCTGTTTCAATGGTGCTCCATGTAATCCTAATGGAATAGCAGGTTTCATATGTATCTGTACTCAACCATATACAGGACAACGTTGTGAAGATCGTAAGTTTAATCATTCGTATCATTTCAATGAATCCTTCACAATTATTTGGATTTAGGTATTGATCCATGTGCCAATCAACCTTGCCGAAATGGAGGTACCTGTCGACCAATCAATGGTAATTCATATCAATGCATCTGTCCACCTAGTTACTCAGGCTTTGATTGTTCAATACGTAAGTTATTCGTGTTTGATACGAATAAAAGATAAAATAAGATTAATCAATATATAGGTGATCCATGTGCTCTGAATCCTTGTTTGAATGGTGCTCAATGTAATCCTAATGGAGTAGGAGGTTTCATATGTATCTGTATTCAACCATTTACAGGACAACGATGTGAAGATCGTAAGTTTATTCATTCGTATCATTGAAATGTATTCTTCGTCATTACTTTGCTCAGGTATTGATCCATGTGCCAATCAACCCTGCAGAAATGGAGGTACCTGCCGACCAATTAATGGCAACTCGTATCAATGCATCTGTCCACCTAGTTATTCAGGCTTTGATTGTTCGACACGTAAGTTATTCATGTTTGATATGAATGAAAACAAAATGAGATGAATGAGCATGTAGGTGATCCATGTGCTGAAAATCCATGCTTGAATAATGGTCAATGTGTTTCAACTAATATTGGAGGATTTACTTGTCAATGTCCTCCTGGATTCAGTGGTCAACGATGTGAAGATCGTAAGAATATCACATCGTTAAGCCATTGCATGTTTTATGACTTTGCTATTATTAGGTGATCCTTGTGCTTCACAACCATGCATGAATCAAGGCACTTGCATAAGAGAAAATGGTAGTTTTCGTTGTACATGTCCACCAGGCTATTCAGGAAGTCGATGTGAAATACGAGATGCATGTCAAAGTAAACCATGTATGAATGGTGGTACATGTCAATCAATTAATAGCAATAGTGGCTATCAATGTATTTGTTCTGCTGGTTTTAGTGGCCTACAATGTGAAACTAGTACGCTTACTACATGCTTCTATAAATTGAGAAATTATTTCTTTTGTTTTTTCTTTGATTAAGTATATTGTTATATTTTGTATAGGAGATCCATGTGCTCAGAATCCTTGTTTGAACGGCGGCCAATGTTATCCGAACAGTATGGGAGGATTTACTTGTCAATGTCCTTCTGGTTTTAGTGGTCAACGATGTGAAGATCGTAAGGATATCGTATAGTTATAAGCTATTGCATGTTTTATTACTTTGCTATTATAAGGTGATCCTTGTGCTTCACAACCATGCATGAATCAAGGCACTTGCATAAGAGAAAATGGTAATTTTCGTTGTACATGTCCACCAGGTTATTCAGGAAGTCGATGTGAAATAAGAGATGCATGTCAAAATAACCCATGTATGAATGGTGGTACATGTCAATCTATTAATAGCAATAGTGGCTATCAATGTATATGTCCTGCTGGTTTTAGTGGTCTGCGATGCGAAACAAGTGCGTTTATTTACTTAAAAACACGTTTTTATTTTCGTCAGAATAAATTTGATCATGTTTATATGCTTTGACTGGAGTATAGAAGATAGAGATTGTTCTTGAGCTAGGTTCTGCATTCGAAAGATCAGTTTATTTATTAGGAGATGTTTGTATACCCAACCCTTGTTTGAATGCTGCAACATGCATTTCAAATGGCTTTGGAGGATTTACTTGTCAATGCCCTTCTGGTTTTAGTGGTCAACGATGTGAAGATCGTAAGAATATTATATTAATAAGTCATTGCATGTTTTATTACTTTACTATTATTAGGTGATCCTTGTGCTTCACAACCATGCATGAATCAAGGCACTTGCATGAGAGAAAATGGTAGTTTTCGTTGTACATGTCCACCAGGATATACAGGAAGTCGCTGTGAAATAAGAGATGCATGTCAAAGTAATCCATGCATGAATAGTGGTACATGTCAACCTATTAATGGCAATGGTGGCTTTCAATGTCTATGCCCCTCTGGATTCAGTGGCCCACGCTGTGAAACTAGTAGGCCTATGACGTGCTTTTACAAATTGAGAGATTATATATTTTTTTTCACTAAGTATATTGTTATATTTTGTTTAGGAGATCCATGTGCTCAGAATCCATGCTTGAACGGCGGTCAATGTATTCCAACTAATAATGGTGGATTTATATGTCAATGTCCTGGTGAATATAGTGGTCAACGATGTGAAGATCGTAAGAATATCATATAGTTATAAGCTATTGCATGTTTTATTACTTTGCTATTATTAGGTGATCCTTGTGCTTCACAACCATGCATGAATCAAGGCACTTGCATAAGAGAAAATGGTAGTTTTCGTTGTACATGTCCACCAGGATATACAGGAAATCGATGCGAAATAAGAGATGCATGTCAAAATAACCCATGCATGAATGGCGGTACATGTCAATCTATTAATAGCAATAGTGGCTATCAATGTATATGTCCTGCTGGTTTTAGTGGTCTACGATGTGAAACTAGTATGCTTGTTCTATGTTTTTTTGTTCATATAGAAGTTGATGCATGACGAATATGTACCTAATATTATTGCTTTCATAGAAGATCCATGCACTCAAAACCCATGCTTGAACAATGGTCAATGTGTTGCAAATAGCTTGGGAGGTTTTACATGTGTTTGTGTTCCTCCATATACAGGTCAACGATGTGAAGATTGTGAGTTTAAAAGGAAAGCTCTACATATTCTCTAGCTATGTTGTCATGCTGCATTTGTTCTAGCAAATCCCTGTGCAAGTAATCCGTGTGGTAGCAATGGACAATGTATTGAAAGTAATAGTGGCTTTTATTGTGAATGTAATCTCGGATATTTTGGAAATCAATGCGAGAGTAAGTGATCATTGTATAGTATGTTATATAGCATGTAATATTCAATTTGCATGATGCCAGATCTTGTTTGCACGCCTAATCCTTGCACGAACGGCGCTACATGTGAACCTCGTCCTAATGGTGTTTTTCATTGCAACTGTCCACCTGATTATGAAGGACAACGTTGCGAATTTCGTATGTGTTCTGAATATGAGCAATACATACAAATAAAATAGATAAAATGTGGTCTCATTTAATTTTAGGTAAAGTTTGCGAACCGAATCCATGTCTCAATGGTGGCACATGCAGTCCATATGGTCTCGATACATATTCTTGCAATTGTCCATTTGGTTATACTGGTAGAAATTGTGAAAACCGTAAGTAGCATAGAATGATTATTTTCATAAGATAATTAATATTTTTTGTTTAGGTGATCCATGTATTCCAAATCCATGTCAAAATAATGGTCGCTGTCGATCAAGCATAGCTACAGGCACCTATGTATGTGATTGTCCTGCTACTTTTAGCGGTCAAAATTGTGAAACAAGTAAGTGTTATTATAAACATGAAGAATGCATGACTTAGATATGCATTGTATGCCCAGATGAGTTGATGATGAGCTAAATATCGAATATTTTTCCTAGTTATATCGGCTCGACGTGTCTAGTCTAAATCTCAAAAAGTCCTCATCCATGATTATTTCGAGACGAGGACTTGTTGAGACAAAGACTAGATAGGTCGGATTGACATGATGCCCATCCAAATATGATTTAAACTGGAAAAAGAAAGATCGTCAGAGACAATTCACAAGATATGTTGTAATAAGATCTACTGAATTAGTTTAGACTAGTCTAAATCTAAATATATAAGGCAAAAAGTTAGATTCGAATATGAATACAATATGTTACTTACTCATCGTTTAGTCAATTGAACTATGTGACCGAAAAATCTATTTCTATGTCTCTCTAAACATTCGTAAATATACCATTTTATAGAATTTTTTACAATTTTTTTAAAATTTGCATATGAATAAAAAAAATTATTCTAGCACAAAAATAAATACATAAAATTGAGTAAGTTTATTATAGATTCTTTTTAAATTAAAAGGAAAAAAAATTTTTGATCATAAAGGTTTAGAAAAAAGAGATAATAATAACAAAAAATATATTAAGTACAAAAATAAATATATCGATCATTTGAATTGAAAACAAATTGAATTGATCGATTTTAAAATTAAAACAGAACTACATTTGCGTAATCTGAATTAAATCTTAAATAGAACAAATCGAATGTATAGTTAAAATAGAATAAAATAATGATACAAAAAAAGATACAAATTATTTTTAACTTGTTTTTTTTACACATATAATCAATTTTAAATCTATAAATTTCCAGTTTTTTGCACAGAGATGAACACTATACTTACTATTTTCTTCTACTTTTTGGTACTTCGATACATATTTTTAAGTTAGTCCTCAAAAGTACGAAGTTTTTGCTTCTTCAAGAAGTGTGCATTTGCATTTCGAGTTTTTAAAGAATGAAAAATGGCAGAAATCTACACACAACTGGAAGAAGATATAACAAATGTGTTGTATATCTTTGACTTCAGTATGGGTTTTGAAGAACTCAATAAAATAATATCGATGGCACTTTTTCTTTCCATAATAAATTGAAACAGTAGGTGCATATGCCAGTAATCCATATGGAAGTAGTGAAACATGTTGTATACTAATTAGCAATGAATATAAATATGTCTATGTATCACATATGATGAGTACTCATGAATTTTTCTTTGTTTTCTTTTGGTTTTATGTTGAAAAATAAATTCAAAAAGAATATTCGATCATTGCCGTATTCGATTACTAAGATGCTGTTTTCTTTTAGGTGATCCTTGCGCAATAAATCCATGTGTCAATAATGGCCAATGTTCATCAAATGGTTATGGTGGATTCATGTGTATCTGTATTCAACCATATACAGGACAACGTTGTGAAGATCGTAAGTTCATCGAATCACATCATATGTTTTGGCCATGATAATTAGTTTTTAGGTATCGATCCGTGCGCCAATGAACCCTGTCGAAATGAAGGTACCTGTCAACCAATCAATGGTAATTCATATCAATGCATCTGTCCATCTGGTTACTCAGGTTTTGATTGTTCAATACGTAAGTTGTTGATGTTTGATACAAATGAAAACAAAATAAGATGAATGAATATATAGGCGATCCATGTGCTCAGAATCCATGTTTAAATAACGGTCAATGCTATCCGAACGGTATGGGAGGATTTATGTGTCAATGTCCTCCTGGTTTTAGTGGTCAACGATGTGAAGATCGTAAGAATATCGTCTAGTTAAGCTGTTGCATGTTTTATTGCTTTACTATTATTAGATGATCCTTGTACTTCACAACCATGCATGAATCAAGGCGCTTGCATGAGAGAAAATGATGGTTTTCGTTGTACATGTCCACCAGGATATTCAGGAAGTCGATGTGAAATAAGAGATGCATGTCAAAGTAATCCATGTATGAATGGTGGTACATGTCAACCTATTAACGACAATAGTAGCTATCAGTGTGCATGTCCTTCTGGTTTCACAGGTTTACAATGTGAAACACGTAAGAAGAAAGTTGATATTTCTTTGCAATAGATTTCAAACTAGAAAACTTAGGAGATTATGATTTATGAAACATAATTAATCATTTTAGAAGATGTATGTACACCGAATCCATGTCTCAATAATGGTGCCTGTATACCAAATGGAGTTGGTGGTTTTACATGTCAATGTCCTAGTGGATTTAGTGGTCAACGATGTGAAGATCAAGATAGTTGTGCCGCTCAACCATGTCAAAATCGAGGTGTTTGTGTTAGTTCAGGTGATGGATCGTATATATGTCAATGTCGTACAGGTTTTCAAGGACAGAATTGTGAACAAAGTTAGTTGAAAAAAAATTCTAAAAAATGATATAGTTGTTCTTATTCAAATTCTAGTGGATATTTGTGGTGTGAAAAATCCATGTATATGTGGTACATGTCAAAATGATCCATACAATCCACAAGGTTTTATTTGTTTCTGTCCACCTGGTTATTCGGGTAATCGATGTGAAAAAAGTAAGTGTTGAAAATAAGTGAAATATTTTGCATTTGTAATCATATATATATATGTTTCTTTTTTGAGTACTTAATTGTTTGGATAGCGGAGAGGAATGCATAAATGGAGGTCAATGTATTCAACGTCCACTTGGTGATTATGTTTGTTCATGTCCTTATCCTTATTGTGGTCTTCGTTGTCAATCTCAACGACCATCCTGTGGTATGTATTATCTATTTCAGAAAAGAGTGGTGGACTCACTTGTTTGTTGAATAGCTCGACAACACTAATAGCTATTGAGCTCGAATTTACGCCGTTAGAATAGAACATGAATGGGAGTACACAAGGTTATCTGAGAATCAAAATATTTGAAAATTTTTCTAAGGAGTTCCAAGAATTTTTCGAGATATTCTATATGGGCCATTAGACCTATCTATGGGCAAATTTTCAGATCGAAATACCTAGGAATGTTTGGACAATTTAATAAAAGTGGTCCTCATTTTTTAACAAAAACTCGAAAACACCTAAACAATTCCGGAGTTTATAAAGCAGATATTGACCTACAATATGACTAAATTGAAATTGAAAATATAGCTAATCATGCGAATCAAATAGTGATTTTCCAAAAATTGCTGGGATCTCCTTAGAAAACTTTTAAAGTATTTTGATTCTCAGTTGGATTTGTCCTTTCTATTCTTTTGTGAAATGTACAATATAGATTAAAAAAAATGTTTCAATATCTTGAACATATATATGTTTTTCTAGGTACAGCACATACTCTTGCACCACCTGCAACAACATCAAGTTCTAATTCATTATGTTCTTCAAGTATATGTAATAATCGTGGTATATGTCAAGAAGTTGATCATGGAAGAGGCATTCAATGTTATTGTTCAACAGGCTGGTCTGGTTCACGATGTCAATATAGTAAGTTAATGTTTTAATTGACTTCCAATGAAAACAAACACATGTATTTATAATATTGAAATAAAAATTAAATAAATAGGTTTATCATGTAAAGATGATCGACAATGTAGTAACGGTGGAGTATGTCGTGAGATAACAGATGAAATCAGTGTATGTCATTGTTTACCACAGTTTCGGGGAGAAAGATGCGAGTAAGCTAACAATAGCATGGTTTTCCATTTCCTCTTTTGTTTTGTGTGATATGTAATTGTTTTATTAGTTGTATAATAATTATTAATCAATTTCTTTTTTATTTATTTATTTATTTAGACATGCGTATGAATCCTGGTCTCACCCAGGTTACGATGAGCAACAGCAACAGGACACTTCTAACCAGTACGATAACGCTTATCCGTCGGCAGCGGACATAACACGAAGGGATGTATCAAAGAACACAAAAAAACGTAAACAAACCAGCAAAAATTAATTGTGTTATTAATTTATATTAGCTCCTTTATATGCAAATAGTCTTTTGTTATTTCTCCTTTTTTTTTCTTTTTGCTCAGAACAGTATATATATATATATTTATATATATACATAACACTTTACCTATTATTATCCTCAACTGGTTTTCTTTTTCTTTCTATTAAACAATATTAAATAAACCGATAGAGCCGTTTTTTTTTTCTCGAGAAAAAAAAGAATATTTATTCGCAAGAATCGATAGAAAAAATTAAAATGACAATCGAAAAAAAATTTATTTGTTTTTCTTTTTTTTTTTTTATTTCTTGATCGAAAAATAAAATAAAACGATGAAAATCATTTTTAATAATTAACAATTTGTATAATAAACATCAAGAAAATATAAAAATAATGATAAGCAATCATAGTCATGAATGAAGCAGTATGGTTTGAACTTCTGTGTTGACTAAAGTATGACAAAAAAAATTAACATTAATAGATGGATCGAAAGTTTTGAAACAAAATATTTGTTTATTTTTAACTCTCTTGAAAGTATTTGTTTCTGATGAGTTAAAAACTATAGATTAGAATCAGTATATTGTGCACTTTCGAAATATAATCTCAAAAATTTTATCTCGGTTTTTATTCAAGAATAGTGAAGGAATTTTCCAAAAGGCCTAAAAAATTAGATTGAATGCTGACCGAATAAACTTTTGGTAATATTTTATATGGAACTAAGCTATGATTTTTATCTAAGTGAAACTATATACAAATTGCCTTTTGATTGAACAATCGGTTTTTCAAAAATGAAGATTTAAAAGAAATGACAATTGAAGAGACCTGTAGAAAAATTCTATTTGTACATTTTGCAGGATAGTTTCTGCTCTACAAATTGATATATTAATAAAGGTGTCAATATTTACTTTCGACTTGTAATGATAAAAGTACAAAAGTAACATGAAATTTATATTATTCAAGTTCTAATGAAGTAAAAATAAGTAGTAATATTGTTACTTTTCGAGTGAGTAATTTCAAACAAAAAAAATCAAGATCTAATGATTTATATCTTTTAGAACATTTAGATGACAGAATGAATATACTAACACATATTATTCGAAGACTGATTAATCCATTAAGTTTTTTCCTTCTAATAGATTTATAAAATTCAAAGTAATAATAAATAGAAATTAGATTTCAGATATCATAACAAAGACATATTATTGATGGAATAGGAAGTTTTATATCTACATTCATCAGGATTGTTGAGACACATAATAGATCAAATATTTAAAATCATGAGAATAATATTTGAAATATATCTCGTTTTATGTTATATTATCAACAATATTTGAAAAATTGGCTCTCTTACAAGTGCCTCTTCGATATGAAATTTCTAGAGAACAACCTATCGAATATTTGAATAGAACTTTTTTTGTAAGAGCTACCAAAATCATGGAAAAATTGGTTTGAAGAAAAACGCAATTCGCTATTTCCGTTACATAAATTTGATTTTTTTTTGTAATGTTTAAAGATAGTTTTTGAATCGCCAAAATGTGTTTAGTAGATAGATGCATAGCGACAAAAACTTTGAGTAGCAAAAAAAGAAAGAGGAAGAATATTCTCTTAAGAATGATAGATGAAGAGAAGCATTTTTACCTGTATAAGTTTGATAAATTCTATAATTTTTATAAAGAAAAAAAAACAACAACATATTTGTAATTATTTTGAAATTAATTTCATCGAATCTTACATGAACAATGCTTGCAGGTTTTGTATCATCATCTGTTTTTATAGAAGTTATTGCTTGTGCAAGATTATCCCAATCTTCAAGTACCATATATTGAAATGGATAACTTATTGATATATTATAATAGGAATATTTTTTCGAATTTTCTTTGCCAATAACATGACGAATTATTTTTTCACAATTAATTATTTTACGAGCATCAAACATAAGTTCAAATATATGTTGATCTTGACAATATTGATCAACATAATCTGCCATTGTTCGTATGATATCTATTTGACCAATTTTAAATCGAATAGCTTCTTGAAATTTTATAACCATAGATGGATTTTGTTTTTCATATTTATTAATAAAACTAAAAAGAAAAGAATTTTGTTTTTCTTTGATTTAATAAATATTTATAAGAGAAAAAATAAAATAAAACATTTTATGCTACATACTCTTGTCGTTTTTTCATAGCATCTAAAAATTCATTATAACTTATATTACATTCGTTATTTTCTGTCATAATATCAATTGGTTCAGAAGTTTGATGTTGAACACTATAATAAAATTGAATTCATTCTTTTATGAATCCTTTAGATAAGAAAAAAAAATAATAATAATAACAAACCAAGAATGTAAAAATTTATCCATAGAATGACCTTGATTAGGATCATGATCAAAATATGCTAAATATTCATTGAAGATATCAGATGTTTTAATTGATGTACAGCAAACTTTATAAGTATGTGCACTTTTTGTATGGTGTATAATCATTGGATGATTAAGTTTGATTATATAATATGATAATCTATTTTTAATTTGATCTGTATCTTTATCAATTTGATCTTGTGATAGAGGTTTGTTATCAAGTTTTGTTTGAATATTTTTTTTTACTTGATCAACTATTATATTCCAAGCATTCTAAAAGAGAAATTAATTTATTTTTATTAATTTTTTATTTAAATTTAATATTTAAAGAGATTTAATATGAAATATAATTGAAGAAATATAGATTATCTTAAGTAAAATATGTTCATACTTTAATAGGAATCATTAAACTTAAAGCTTTTTGTTGAAATGGTGGACTTATTTCTTTTTTAAATTTATTATAATTATTATAGAATAATAAATTATTAGATAATAATGAACGATAATATATTTCACAATTGATTAATTTATATGGTTGCCATAATAGAATGAGAGCAAAACCACAAAAATCATTTGTTGTAGTATCATAATCATAAACAATATTTTTTACATCAATTGATTGTACAATTGCTTGATCTAATAATTTCATTGCACTATTATCATTTATTGTATTGTTTTCTGAATACAAATCAATAAATCTATCATAGAGAAGAAATTCATATTTAGAATTTTATCTAGAATATTTTGATGTTGCTAATTATAAGGAGATTGCTTTATCCTATCTATTTTGAGATATATAGTTCTTCATCATCTTTTTATTTAATCCTTCAGAAACGGTAATAAGGAAGTAGTTCATATATTAGAACAAGATATTATTCATATACAATATGTGATCGTATATCAATGTCTATTACAGCCTGTAGAAAGGGATTTAAATTTTTATCCCTATACTTCAACGCTCCTTTTGGATCGCGTGTTTTTTTTTACAAAAATGCTATAGAATATAATTTATTATTATGTCATTAAGAAAAAAAGATATTTATTACATTTAGATAAAGTTTCAAGTTAATTTACTTACACCTTGGTTAATTGTCGAGCTTTTTCTAATAGTCGTAAATTAAACTCACAATCCGATTTATCATGGATTATCATTTTATCAGCACATTCTTTGATTATTTTCATTTGTTCATCTAATAAACCGTACGCATCAACATATTTTTTTAATAGTAGTTCATCTGATCCTATATCCCATTGACAACATGTTAAAAATGCCTTAGCACGTTGTTGATGTTCCTTGAAAACAGGTTGAAAACTTATTGATATAAATGGATTGAATTGTTGTACAATAGCTTCATTATCAATCTTGATCATCTGTTCGAAGTCTTGCAATGAATTCAAAAAAAAAAAAAAAAGAAAAGAAAAATTATTCGATGTGTTTGATACATTTGTCAGAAAAAAAATTGAAATCTATATTTTTCTTAATTTTTTAAAAAAGATTCTTTTTTTTCTAATTATTCTATGTTTATTAAACGAAATAGACAATATTGGAATCCAATATGATTGGATCCTACGATATTCAAATCAAAGATATTTTCAAGTAAACGATTGATTGAATCTTCTAAATAATTTCAATCTACTTTATTTAAATCAATTCCTATTAGAAAGGATCACAGTCGATAGTGAATTCTAGATTTCTCTCGTTTTATGATTCTTTTTTCTCAACTAACACATACTTCTCCTTTCAAATACTGTCAATTTCACACGTCCAAATCAATTCTTTTATGATTAATGACAAATGTGAAAGATTAAACATTGCATATGTTTGTAGTATATTCAAAAAACACTTGCACTTGCTGACAACATATTTTTTAACTCATCTTCATTCATACACAATCATGCAAGTTATTTGAAATAGTTGGGATTTTGCAGAAGAAATCTAAGTCAATAGTTCACGTATATCGATGTTTGTGTTTCCAACATATACATTCGAATACAATTTATCAAGTTTTTCAGGTATAAAAATAGACGAGTAAGATTATGTACAATTCTTATCTTTGCCATAATTCGTATATACTGCATTTGTATTGAAAAATTTAAGTATCATCCGTATCTGTCCTGATAATTGAAAACAAGTACGCGAAATTCTGCACGTCTATACAACATTATCGTGTGTACGGCAATCACTATTGAATTGATACTCAGTTGACAGGCAAAATTTTACTATTTCGCTGTGTAAATATTGGTTTATACAAGAGTTTAGTTTTTATTTCAACATGTTAGTATTTGAGACATTCATACGCATGTTAAATAGCAAATTGTAAAATCCTCGAATCTTGAAATTCGATGGATTCACAATTCTAGGATTCAACTTTTTTTTCTCTTCCACAGATGATACCCCTTGATGTATGTACAGACTTTTCTCATAGTTGTGAATGACTTAGTAGAAACAAAACTTTAACTCTAAAAAAAAAGGATTGGAGAGCAAGCATATCAGTTATTTTTTATTTACTTCACTTCGAAAATGATGCATTTTTTTAGCTTGCAATGTAAAGAATTAGAGACAATGTATTTTGAAATAATAGTAATTGGTGTTGAACAGTGGTATCGCCAGCAGATACAAACACCAAATTCTTTCTAGAACACGAATTGCCAATAATAAATAATTGACTGACAATTCATTGAATGGTGATGATACCTTGTCAACAGTAGACGAATATTAAAGTCATGAATCGAACATTGACAAAACTATCAATTCATCTTCAGAAGAACTAACTAGTGACTTTGTACGGCTTGATGATAGCAATAGTAATGATGAAATAAACTTAACATGTTGCTGTATTATTTATAAATTTTTACATTTATAATTATAAATTGAAGATACTGATACGACATTCATGAATACTATATAAACGATTGGTACATCCCTAGATATTCGTATCACGAAAAAACAAACATGTGTAAATATGTCACATATTATACTATAATCATTCGTCTCGAAACGTTGAATGCTAATATGCATCACAACAGACTACAGTAGATAGAATAACGAAGCGTTTGTTGCAAATACACATGAATATGCTAAAGTCTTTCTCTACATATCAATTTCAAATTTGAAAATTTTTATTTCATGAGACAAACTTCCATTTCACGCTAAGCGTCTACTTACATTAGAGCTACATTCAAAACTTGTATACATACTGATTATCTAATGACTGTAGGACATATATGTTAATAACTATTAATAAATTCGAAAAAACGAAAACAAACTTTTGAAATAAAACTGATCCAAAAATACAAGAGCAAATTCATTTTAATGAGAAAATCAACAATAACATGTTGAAGTAAAAGTTAAACTCTCGTACAAATCAATATTTACACAACAAAATGAAAAATTTTTCTTATCAACTCAGAAACAATTCAATAGTAGTTTTCGTACATACGATAATGTTGCATAGGCATGCAGAATTTCATGAATTTGTTTTCATTATCAGGACAGATGCTGATGATACTTAAGCCTTTCAACACAAGCACAGTATATGTGAATTATGACAAAGATAAGAGTTGTGTATAATCTTACTCGTTATTTGTTTTTCCTAAAAAACTTGGTAAATTCTATTCGAATGCATGTACCGAAGACGCGCATTGGTGTATATATACTACTGTATTGTGTTTTTTTCGAGAAATCTCAACTTTTTCAAATAACTTCTATGATCATGTATGAATAAAGATGGATTAAAAACTATATTGTAAGCAAACACGACTATTTTTTAAACATGCTTGTTTGATTTGTTTATGAACACATTCTCAGCTCTTTTCTTGATACTCTTATTTACCTGTTACTTCATTTTTTTCTTCATGGGTCGGTACAATTGTTTCTTCGTTTTCGAACTCTATACTTTGTTCTGAAACCGTGGACGCTGATTCAGCGGATTCTATGTTAATAAATAGTACATTATCAAATTATTATCATCGAGTTTCTTTTGTATTTTTACTAACCTTCTTGTCCATAATACATTTCATCAATCAATTCTGTTACTTCTTCATTTGCAAATTTTACACTTTGTTCAGAAACTGTTGATACTGGGTCAGTGGATTCTGTGTCAATAAATAATCCACTACTAACTTATCATCATCTCGTTTCTTCATATTCTTACTAACCCTGATGTGGATAATACGTTTCATCAGTTGATTCTGTTGTTTCTTCCTTTTCGAATTCTGTACTTTGTTCTGAAATCGTTGATGATGGTTCAGTGGAGTCTGTGTTAATAAATAGTACCATATCAACTTATTATCATTACGTTTCTTCGTATCCTTACTAACCTTCTAGTGTATAATATAATTTATCAGTGGATTCTGTTGTTCCCTTGTTTTCAAACTCTGCACTTTGTTCTGTTACGGTCGATGCTGGTTCAGTAGATTCGGTAACAATAAATAACCCATTATCTGTTGTTTCTTCATTTTCGGCCTCTGTATGTTGTTCTGAAACTGCTGATGTTGGTTCAGTGGATTCTGAATCAATAAATAATGTATTATCAAACTTATTACCGTTGTATTTCTTCATATTCTTACTAACCTTCTTGTGTATAATATATTTCATCAGTCGATTCTGTTGTTTTCTCATTTTCAAACTCTGTAGTGTGTTCTGAAACTGTCGATGCTCGTTCAGTGGATTCTATGTTAATAAATAGTGCATTATCAACTTATTACCATCGTGTTTCTTCATATTCTCTGACTAACCTTCTTGTGTATAATATATATCATCAGTTGGTATTGTTGTTTCTTCGTTTTCGAAGTCTGTACTGTGTGTTGAAAGTGTCGATAAATACTCTGTAGATTCTAAGTCAATAAATAGTATATTTCCTAGTCATTATCATTATGTTTCTTGATATTCTTACTTACTTTCGTATGGATGACTTTCTGATTGAAGTTGAACTGTTGTTGGATTTTCCGAGTCGATATTGTCAATTGGAAATGATGATACACTTGTAGTATATATTTCATATGTATCTGATGAATGAATTTTAATTATTATCGCAACTATAATCGATATTTTTATTTACCTTTTTTTCTATGATTTTCTGTATAAACCGGATTTGTTGATAGATTTTCAGAAAAGATATCGTAAATCGGAAGTGCTGCTACATCTTCAATATAGACTATTTAAATAATAACGATAAGATTATTTCTTTTCTTTTTTTTTTTTATTGTATGCCGCTTTGTATTACCCGTTTTATCGATGTCGTTGTCAGTTGTATTGAGTAATGCATTCACTACAGTGACTATTTGCAAATAATATACTAACTGAATAAAGAATATAAGAAAAAATGTCCAAGACGACATTTTCACTGATAATAGAAGATACGATCAATGATATTAAATTAGGAAGAGAAATAAGTTAAGACATTCAATAGGTACGGACAGAAACTTAGTTTTTTTAAACAGAGGATTTATTCAGATGAATGAATAAATGTATATAAAATGAACAAATTTTGTTACTATAAAAAAAATCTTGGTGACAAAATAAAGCGCTGAATATGTCTACTTTTTCATAGTATTGTATTTTTATTTGTACAAATTTGTAAAAAAAAATCAATAAATAAAATATATGAAAATTGACTTATATATTTATTCTAAATATAATAATGAGATATTTGTTCAATTTTAAAGAAACTTTATTCGAATTACAACTGATGGATTATGATCAGAATTTCATTCATTTTCTTAGTTTCTAATAAAATTCTAACCAACAAAATTTGCCATTAAAGATTTTTCTTAACTTCTAATAGGACAAACATTTTAATAGCTTGTTTCCTGTATATGTTACCCAATAATATTTTATATAGAATTATAGCTCTTGAGAAAATACGTATAAGTTTACATCAACATAAGCTAAACTTTAGTTCTATATAACATTTTATAAAAAAACATCGAAAAGTACCGAGTTGAATAACGCCTAATAGCTTTATACAAAAATGATATCTTTTGTAAAATATGATTTTATTTGATTTATATGAAGGTTTTATCAAATGGGAAAATTCTGTACTCCAGAGGTATGCTAAAGTCATCTTCGATTATCTATTTCAACTCTACTATCAACATGTGTCACGAGCATTTTAGTTTGAATTCATTTTATCTAAGTTTGTCTGATAATAAAGCCTAACTACTCTAACATTTGAGTATTACTGAAGTACGATAAAGTGGTTAGTCTTTATTGTTAGACAATCTTATATAAAATGAATTTAAACTAATATACTCAGGATACATGTTGATAGTAGATTTGAAATAACTAAAATCTTCTAGAGAATAACTTTGGCAAATATTCTTGAAGCACGAAACTTTCGTTTTTTCCTTCTCTTGAATTTTAATCATTTATTTTTATTAATTAACTTTCTTCTGTTCTATTACATCATTTATCTTATGTTAAAATAATATTTGTATTTATTATTAACATGTATCAATAATCTCGAATAGATTTTATATCCTGATGAAATCTTCTGTTATAATATAAAAATCTTAAATGTTTTTTGTTTTTATAATGGAAAACAAAATCATGCACAATTTTTATTGAGCAAATACTACGAGACTATAAAAAAGAAAAACAAGTAAGAAAGTGATAATATAGAATATAATACAAAATAAACCCAATTGGTTTAATTCTAATTACATCTGACAATATTATCAATTTGAAAACAAAACAAATGCAATAACAAAATGCAAATAAACATGTATATACATAAAAATAAGAATACAAATATTTAATTTTTTTATTTTCTAAATGGCACCAAATTCTGTAATAAGTACATGATCATTAAGTGATGTTTGTTGTTGTTGTTCAGATAATGGTTGATGTTTTAATAAAATAGGTGAAGAAATTATTGATGGACCTAAACGATGTCGACGGATTGAACTATGAATATTATTAGTATTATTTTGATTTGGATGTATAAGAAATGATTGAGTTGATGAACAACGACGTTGATTTACTGTTGGAGATGATATATCATGAAGAGAATGTTGAAGACCTTGAATAGATCATAAAAATAGAATTCTTTTTTTTTCTTTCTCTTGTTATTCGATTTTAGGTGATGGCAATGCAAAAAATTGAGCAAAAGTTTTCTTAAATATTGTTTTCGACTTTTGCTATCTTATAGAAAAAAATCGATTCTTTCAACAATCAAATAATTTTCTTCCTAACTATATGACGATTAAAATCAAAAACTAATTCAAATAAATATTAAGACTTGATACTTTTGATATATTTCAATTTTTATAGACTTTTTATCTAAATTTCATAAGATAAAAACATCGTTGAAATATGTCAAAAACAACATTTTTATAGGTAATTCGACGAGTTCTATCCAACTATGAGAAACCAAAATTTGCATAAATTTCAAATCGCCAGCACCTTATGAATGATGAAAAGAAAATAATATTAGCTGTTATGTGTCATAGTGCGAATCATAAGTCATTGAAAAGTTTAATTTCAAATCAATGTTTATTTTTCTTTAAAAATTTCGATTCGAGTTTAGTTTTTTTTTTTTTTCTAATCTTTATTTTCTGTTGTTATGAAATCAATGTGCGAAATTTATTGACATGCATATGCTTTTTTTTCCCCCTTTACTTACATAATTAATATTCTGTATGATTTATTTAAAAGAAAAATAAAAATGATAAAAAAATTTTGACAAATAAATTTACCTGGTGAATCTCGAATTGGACGAAATGGTGATTGTCGATGATTATTTAAAATCTAGAAGAAAAAGTTTTTGTTTTTAATTTTTAATAAAACAAACCAAAGAATATTTAAACATACAAATTCCGGTGCTTTCGATTGTAATGTAACACGAATTGGACTAAAAGAAAAAAGATGAATGAATATTTAAGGTATTTTTGTTTGCTTACGTTGATGCTTTAGCCATAGCTGTTGAATCATCATTTATTCGAGATTCTTCTTCTTCTATAAAATATTTAAAAAAAAAAAATATTTAATATTTTTTCGTCTAGAAATTCATTAATACCTTTTGATGATGAATCAGCTAGACTATCTGTTGATTGATGAAGATGATTAGTTTCTATGAAGAAAAAATAAAATAAAAATTAACTTTTTCTTTTCTTACAAAAATCTTCTTTATTATACCTTGTTGATTTTTAAATATTTCAGAAGTTGATGGTTGATATTGACGTGCCGATGTTAAACTTGATGATATAACATCTGGTGCTAAAAATTATTCATATGAAAATATAATATTCAATTTTATTTTTCTACTTGTTGATCGTGCATGAGTTATTGATGTAACTGTATTATCAACAGAAGATAATGATGGACTTATTGCACGTTCAGTTGAATCACCAAGATAAAGTTGTCCATCAGCTGATGATGTACGTGTTCGACGATTAGCCAAACGATCAAGAATATTACGAGTTTTTCGTGAAACAGATTGTATAAGACCACGAGATCTAATTTAAAAAAGAAATAATAATTATTGAATATTAAAACATTCTGATTGCAAAAGAACAAGACATTGAGTCTCAAAATCACATACAGACATGAACAAAAGTAGCTGTCTCTCTTCCTGGAATAGAGTTCATCAGGTCCAAAATTCTCGGATTCAGACCCGATTGAATCGTACTTTGATATTCTCAATTAAATTTTCTGAGCGAAATTGGATAGTCGTCCTAAATACAGCGTACACCACACATTTCTCAGACGACTAGAGTCCATCAGGTCCAAAATTTTCGGATTCGGAATCAACCCAATGGGCTCCATCCGAGAATGCTGCTATTCTCTATGATATTATACTGATATTTTCCCTATGCGAAAAATATATTCAGTAGAAATGTTTTGGTTCGTACTATGACTCTGAAATTTTCAGAACAGACTTATTTTCTCATAGGAAGTTTCTGCTAAAACTTTCAAATGCATTATTTAAAGCTATCGTTAAAAATATGTATCTCACTAAAAATTATCATTTACTTTTCAACAAACATTATTTATAAGCAAACAATATTAGAACTATCTTAAAATGATTTCTAATAACATTTAGACTAGGATGCTCTTCTAAATTGAGTTTTTGAATGATAGATTGAACAAAAAATATTTATGCCAAAATGAATGACATAGGATGATTAAAGGAGAAAGATAATATTTAAATTATAATTCCAATATATCTACATTGATGAAAGATGAGTTGATTATGGTGATTAGAATTTATTTTTCGTACGAATTTAATTCTTAATTAGAAATTCAAATAATAATAAGTTTGAATTATTTCTATTAAAATTTCATAAAAAATAAATTTGATTACCGTCTTGGTTTATGTATGGTCATATTTTTATATTGTTCCATAATTTTCATTTCAAGTAGTTCTTTTTGTCTCATTAATGAATGAAGTTGTTCTCTAATAAACAATAAAAAGAAATCGAATGAATTTTTCTCAATTATTTTTATTATTTTCTTCGAATACATACAAATAACCTCGAGCTTCTTCATGAAATAAATCTTTATTACTTAATGCTTGTGCAAGAACATTTTGATTTTGTTGTACAAGATTATGTAATTGTTCAATTAATTGACTTTTTTCTTCTTCTGTTCGTTCAGTTTGTTGTTCAAGAAACTTTAAATACAAAAAATGTTTATTATTAAACTAAATCATTAGCAAAATAAAAATAAAAATAAAAAACAAACTTCATATTTTGTTATTAAATTTGCATATTCAGCATTAATATTTGTATATTTCATTTGTATTGTAGCTAAATCACTTCTTGATTTACTTAATTCTAATTTAATTTCATCTAATTGTTGTTTTAAATTTTGATTTATAGTTAATGTATCTTGTAAATCATCTGTACGTATTTGATATTGTTTTTGTAATAATAAATACTGTTCATCAAGTGGTTTTTGTTCAGCTAATTTTGTTTCATATTGATGAATTTGTTTTAATAAATAACTAATACGATTTAATAAATTTTGTTTTTCTTTAACAATTGTATCTAATTCAATTTGTAAATATTTACATTCTTTTGTTAATAAACGATTTGTTGTACGTTGTTCAGTTAATTGATTTAATGTTGTATCAAATTCATTTTCAAGTTTTGTATAAAGTTTTTGTAATTGATCATGATCATTTATTAATTGTTCATTTGTTTGTTGAAAATGTTGACATGAATTTATTATTATTAAACGATCATTTTCAATTTGTTCATTTAATTGACGTTGTTTAAGATTATCATTTTGTAAAGATTCAATACGTAATGTTGTTTGTTGTAAATCATTTTGTAAACGTGTTTTATCAGATTGTAAATCTTGTATATGATGATTAAGAGTTTCAATTGTTTCTTTT